GTATACAGCTAATATAGAAGTTGTTTAGCATCTTGGACACTGAATAAGGCTTTATTATTATTAAATAGTAAATATTTATTCAGTGTCAAAGATTCTAAACAACTTCTAGGTGTAGGCAATCACTATAGAGGTCCATCTCTGTATTTTAGCTGCTTGTTCTTATAGTTTACCAATATCGTTGCATTATTATTATTTAATGCAGTGCATGGCATTTAGTGTAACAAGAATTCCAATATGATTGATTTTATTGCCATAGTTTAGTCAATTTTAGGCTCTTAACACAAACGTTTAAAAATTGTTGTTGTTGCAGAATAAATATCTTCACCAAAACTAAATATATAAATTTGGGTGTGTCTTCATTTAATAATGAATATCTAACGAGAGAATTCCTAACATTTTTTCTTTTAAGTTTCTTAACAATGTCTTTCTTTTGGATATTCAAGCATTAAAATTCCAGGTAAATTTGGGGAAGTGTTCTTTAGACTAACACAAAGCGGACATTTTGACATTAATAAAGCTGCGCGTTTCTCTCCGCCAATATTTATGTTTAAATGACTCCAATCAGCTCAGCCATAAATTTCACACTTCATGCGAATCAAATCATAAATTTCCAAACGATTTCGTAGTCAAATTCGCAAATGAAGCATAAAAGCGTGTCCAACAGGTTCAAATTTGAGACAGAATCGAATAAATTAAATGAACCTCAATAAAAAGAATTGCTTTAAGTGTCTAAAAAGGGTAACTGATTAAGCTAAAGAGCTTGTAAATACGAAAAGAAATAAAATCAGCAAAATATAAAATAAATTAACGAATATCTGCACACCTCTGCGAACTTCAACAGCCTTCGAGTGCCAACTAACGACGCTGAAGAAAAAGAAATAATCGCACCATTTATCTCAACTCAACAAACTCTAAAAACTCAAAAATTCCAAAACTACCAAATTCTACAATTTCACAAAACAAAATCCTTAAAAATACAAATACAAAGGTGACAAGTGTGTTGTGCTTTTTTAATTCGTATTTTAAGATTTTATTAATTTAGAAATATTTGATCATATTTCACATGTGCCACTCCCTGACTTCGATGCTATTTTATGGCCGCAATCAGCTCATTAAAGATACATTATTTTCACTCCAACTGCAATGGCTGCGTCGAGTATCTATTACTCACAAATGGATAAAGTGAATTTATTAGTTTCTAATTAATAAGTTGAAAAGTTCAGTTTAATATTGAAATGTGCTATAATAAATTCGTTAATAAACTATTGGTCTCGTTAAGCAAAATATATGACATTACTTTACATACTATGACTATGCATTTATATATCCTAAAATAAAATAGAAAATTGTTTTATTCAAAATGAAATATATTGGTTATTTTATCTAAATTTATGTCGTAAATATCTTACTCGTTTGCAGTTTTTATGATATATTTCTGCCAACGAAAATACTTCCAATGGATAATTCTGGTCTGAAAAAAATAATGTATTTGTCACGAAATATTAATCTTATTGAGAACAAAAAATGAAATAGGCTTGTAGTTCTTAAGTACAGTAGATAACTTACTCCTGAAGTTACGAGTAAATGCAAACAATTTTAAACCAGCTCCTAGGTGTTTCCTCTTAATGTATAATGTATAACCTCTGGGCGGTATGCCTTGGTGTGAAAAATGAAAGAGTTGCATAGGGCTAAAGATTTTTTAGCATGAAATTTTTAATGGTGTTTACCAGAATTTAGATTTTTTATGGGTTACACGACGCTCTATGTACTTGAAGCTGAAGATAAGTGTTTTATACCAGCTACTAGGTTTTTTCCTCTCAATGTATAATACATAACCTCTGTGCGGTATGCCTAGGTGTGAAAAATGAAAGGGTTTCATAGGATTAAAGTTTTTTTAGCATGAAATTTTCTATGGTGTTTACCAGAATTTAGATTTTTTTATGGGTTACACGACGCTCTATGTACCTATACCTGAAGATAAGTGTTATGGTTCTAGTAAATGTACTTATGAAAAACTTTTAGTTGAGATCTTTTATATTAAAATAGTTATCTATTTTTATAGCTGCATATAGTCTTATCTTAACAAGTTTTCAATTTATTTTAAAACAAAACAATTTCTAACAAAAAAATCAATTTTCATTTGTTTTCAGTTTCATTAAAAGATGTATCTCTTAAATTAGTTTCAAACATCAAGATAAGTAACACATAAACTACTTTGAAATCACTATTTTTTGTATTTCATCAGTTAATTACAAGGTGGTTAAATTCAATTTAAAAACAATCAAAACAGTATAATATAAATCCACAAGAAATACTTATATCGCCTCTGTAAAGACTCTTCTAAAGATTCATCCAACACGTGTCTTTAATGAAAGCAACAAAAATCTTTTCAAATTAACCGGCAAATTGGCATATTTTACGAGGGTGTTATATTGTATCTTTTTATTCCTTTCATTTGTCACTATTCATCTTTTCTGTGAAAAGATTTTGAAAAGGTAGAGTTTAATAGTCTTTTCTAATTTTTTTTTGTTTAATAATAGCCGCAGTAATGGACTTGAGTTCGTCGGTTAATAGTTTTATTTTTCAAAAATGGAGCTAATTGATCTTGCCGCACTAAAAGGCAATATATTCTTTGGCACTTCATTCTACTTAGTCAAATATTTAATTAGAACGACACTTTATGAGAGAAAATCATTGTTTTGGACGAATGAAGTTTATTGCAGCACTAAAAGCCATATACGTGCACATAATATAACTCGTAAATTACACGCATTAGAGAGATAGAGTGTAAAGATAAAAAAGTATCTTCAACGCAAAACACAGAATAGTGCTAAATTGTTTCTTACTAATTAAATTTATAAACTTTAAAATATCGTTTATAATGTCTTTCTCTAATTTTTAGAGTAAAAAAAAATCTATTTTATTGTATTGACAAAATAGTTTTCGATTTTCTTCTGGGATTTTCAAATGTGATATACAATTACTTACTTGATAGTGTTTAGCTTCAGACCACAGATCAGTACTACAGTAGACAATAGTAGCTATGGAGCAAGTTTTGTGTACAGTGTGTAGCTGAGGAAAATAATGATCTTGGATCGTAGTTGTATGTAATATAATGTAGTTTTTAATTGCTTATTATATTTGATATTTACTTTTTATTTTGGTCTCAATTAACACTTTTAACTTCTTTTGTGAATAGTCACCACCCACACTGACTTCGAGTTAAAACTATTTGAAGTCAATTTTATTTCGAATTTGCATTTACAACTGAATTAAATAGAAACCAAATTAGCGCCGCATTCCAGATACAAACCTACCTCTACTCTAACTTGCAATTTTGACCTTTTAAACGGCTGAAGTCACTGTGCTCAGGCCAGCAATTAACATGTTTTTTTCCTTGCTTGCTTGCTATTCCCAAATAAAGTACACAAAAGTACACAAAAAGTAGAAACAGACTGGGATACCTTTTGGCATTTTTCGCAAAATTATAAAATTTTATATATAGAAAAAGTAAAAGATAAAAGTCAATATAAAATTATTTACAAAAATACAAATAAAATTTTCAACGACTTTAAATAAAATCAAGTGAATTCAGTAAAACAAAAGAAAATTAAGCCAATATTTGCACAAAGTAGTTGTTGTGCAAACAAATGACCCAGTGGGAAATGGTGCATCAAATTAAATATATGGTTTGTTTTTATGATTGAAACATACAAATATTTTAATATACCAAAGTAGTAGTAGTTGTATTTGGTTCTAAACTTTAAAATAGAGTAGTAAATAAGCAAAGATTTCTCTTTCCTTTATTGTTTGGAGTTTGTTGTTTTCACTAAAGATATTGACACTGTCAGGGATTTTGATATATGTGTTTTGACCATATTTATTGCTGAAACATTTCACAGTTTTTTATTTTTAAAGATACTAATAATATCTGTAAATTCTCATAATTAAAGCTCGTTATATATGATTTTAAATATAATGATAAAAAAGTTAGTCTTCACTTTAGGGAAAATATTTTCCTGAGAAAATATTTCGATTTTTTGATAAACAACATATGGACAGGCTATAAGACAGACAGTTGAACGTATTAGCTTAAGATGAAATGTCAATGAAATCTTAGCAATGTGATGTAATTTACATTTGATTTAAAGTCTGACATAAATCTTTATTATCAATATATTAGCATTAAGCCCAAATATGAACGTACGAGTAGAAGCATGAAATAAAAGCAAAATCCTTTTACCAATAAATAAGTTACGACATTATAACTCGATTTTATGGCAACCACAATTGGGCCAATATAGCCGTAACCGCACTAAACGTAAGCGAACAAGTTTATTTGCGTCGCACTTCTGGCGCGAGGTGAGACGCGCCTTACAACCAGAAACCGCCGCAAAAGTCACGAAATCAATTGGCAATGTGCAAATGCGAGTATTGTGCACTTTGGAAACGGAATACTTTCATGTTGACCACAAAATTCATTTGCACAATATGAGACCGTGCGATGCATAGGTGCAAGCTGTTCGGTGCATAGTGCACTCATTGCCTATGACGGCTAGCCGTTGAGGTGCTTAGCGGCTGGCACAGTTACTTTGTTGGTGTACTTCAAGCGGCGTTTATTGTACTCATGTCTGCCACAGGCTTAAGGTTTGCGGTGCTTTAAGTGGACGGCGAATTGTTAACATATGAACTCACGTTTTACTTATTAGATCAGTGAAGGACGGACGACGTCGTTAGGTTTTGGTTTGGTTTGCTTTGGTTTGTTATGGTGTGCTAAAGCACCTGTGGATTTTTGTCAGTAACAACAGGTTGAAACTGCGATTATTATTGCTCGTGTTATGCCGCATATCAACAAACACTTACAAGAAATCAGAGCACATTCTAAACTTTTAGAAAGTTGTTATTTGTTTAGTTATTCATTCTAGATTTAGTACACAATCATTTCTAAACAAGTTAAGACACAGTTTTTTATTCTAAAATTCTTTTATTCTAAAATGCAGGCTACCGACATATCGATGCGACGCCGTTTGTCCACACCCAAAGCTAGTCCACTACTATTGAAACGTACCTCATCCGACAAGACAAAAAAGGAATCACCACTCGCAAAGCCAGAAAAAACAAGTTGGTTTAAGTCACTCGATAGACGTTCTAAAAGTAAATCGAAAGAAAAGGTTTGTTACAATTTTTTTATAACAGTATAACAGTTACAGTAGAAACTAATGTTTTATTGACGTAAAATGATTTAATTTATCTATAGTTAAATGTTTCTGTTAATGGACAAAGTGAAACCTCAAGTATGAAACGTACCAAAACAACGCGTACTACATCTGCTCCTCCAATACCACCGAAAAATTTACGTTTCTTTGGCGATACTGACTTGGATTCAAATCCACCAACTCTTTCGAAAGCGAATACGAATTTAAAGTAAGTGTAAAAAGCAACAAACCTCCACTTTCATCATTAAAATTTTTTAATTTGAAGATCACGACCCTCGCTGTCATCAACGCTTAATCGTTCCCAGAAATATTCACAAAGCGCTTATCATCTCGATCGTGTTGCAAAACCACAACCTCATAGAGATTACAGAAATGAATTAGCAACTAATGGTGTCGGTACATCACGTCATAAGAGTACATCTATGCATAATTTAGAAAAGGAAGGCACTGATGAAGTTGATTTTCGCAAACGCAGACATTATTCCCGTTCTCGAGATCTGGATGATATTTCGGAGACTGGCTCAGAGACAGAAGAACAACATAAACGCAGCAATGGCGTATTGGGTAATGGCGCAAGGACTCTATCACGAGACCGATTGGATCGTACGCACCGGTATGATGAACACACTTATCGACGTAGTCACGATCGTCAAACTCCGGTAGTATCTTCTACACCGAATGGTGGTGATACGAGTAGTAACACACAGAGGCGAAGTAACCACTTGACTGGACCACCGAAGCCAGCACGTAGTGCAGAAAGACGAGTTCTATCATCATATAATAGGTAAGCCTTTTAAATATAATGTTTTACTCGACGTGAGACAATCATGTATGGTGTATTAACATTGAATTGTGTTTTTATCTGAATCTTTATCTGAACAATTTAAAATTGACTAATCAAATTGTATCACTTGATATTAAATTTTATTAATTTTTTACTAAAAATCTGTATTTACTATGCATACAACTGTTCAATTAGTTGGTTTGAGAGAGTACTTTTACGTTAAACGCTATATTAGAACTATATAAAGTTTTTATAATTTTCTTATATAAATTCATCCTATATTTTTATAGAGACCGTGAACGTTTCCCCGGTGAAAGTTCAGGTACAGAAGGTGAATCGAGCCTACAAAGTCAACGTAGCGTAGTTTACTTACACGCTACTACCGTTGGTGCCATACCGCAGCCATATCACTTAAGACGTCGTTCCATATCACGTGATGATCTAAGATCAAACAAAAGTAAAAATCAACCACTGCAGCCAATGACACGTACAGTTTCCCGATCGGTCTCGATGTTGGCACCATGGAAACCAAAACTTATAAGTGAGGGCTACGAAATCAATTACTCGCAAGAGCAAAACAAACGAGTAAGTTAGGAATGTCAAAGCCTCAAAGCTATCATTTTTTGTAATAAATTATTTTCTTAATTTCAGATGTCCACACTACCACGTAAACCGCATCAAAATGGTAGCACAAGCACACTAACACGCAACAATAAAAAGTCAGAAGCACCTTCTACTCGAACAAGACGACATGAACTAATCAAAGACGACCAGTCGTCATTGAGGAATTCATCAACGACAAGTGCATCTAAATCGGCGCTCTCCTCAAACTTACGCAATGTAGATAACAGAAGAAAGATAAAATGAGCTTACTGCTTCTCGTAAATTTAGGAGCCATGTACACCTGACCCAAGGAAAGTAACTAACCAAATTAGGATCCCTGTACGACGTAGTACATATGCTCGTCCTTTGCACGCAGCTTTATCAGCAAGTTTAATAAATTAATTGGTGCTCTTGATGTGTTTGTGAAAAAGAGTAGCATGTAGTATTTAAGTTAAAGTTTTTTTCTAATCAAAACAAAAGCTTTCGAGCGACTAAAGCTTTTAAGCTTTCGAGCATATCAATATCATTCAATGAATAATAATGAACTTTCTTAACTTTGCAACTAATTGTATGCAATTCTCGTCATAATAAATACCTTTTATTATAATTATTATTAATTTTAGTTTTATAAAATATATGACATAATTATAATTTTAAAAATATATATTGTACTAATTGCAAACTTAAATCTTAAACATAACACAATAAAAAAACAACAATAAAAACCTAAAAAAAATGTATCTTTAATTTTATTTTAATTAATTAATTTAATTAATATTTTTTCAAAAAATCCTAACTGCTATAAACAAATTACGCGCTTTTATTATTTTAATTTTGCAAGAACAGCTGTAGATTTTCTATCTCTCAATGATTATTGTCGATATTTTATAAATACCTTTATATATATATATATTGTACGTATAGGAACAAAAAACTTCAATGCTTAAACTTCAATGTTTAAACCAATGGGCCGAATATTGAATGATTTTAAAGTTAGCTAAATCAAATGAACAAGCTGGATAACAAAAAATATGAGAACAATTTATAGAGCAGATTAATTCGCTATCCAATAATTTTAAATACAGTCAAACTTCTATAATTCGAACTTCTATAACTCGAATTTCTCTATAACTCGAATAATAATATCGTCACGTGCCAATAGGAATGTGTGAAAGTGTATTCTATAAGTCGAATTTTTGTTTTAAGTAGGGGAAGTCCCTTTTTCCAAACTAAATATTTATTTTTTTTTAGGTTGCTTCTTTGTGCAAATGCATAAAATTAACATTTCTTCCGACGAACGTGACCTCTAAATTGCAACCACTTAATCAGGGACTGATTCAAAATTTAAAGTGTAACTATTCTCTAACTCATAGTCACCTTTTCTTTGCAAAATGACAGTTCGAGCTGTGTAAGTTTGACTGTAATTGTTTTTGTTTTATTGGTATTTACAATATCATACGCAGAAATGTAGTAAATAAGATTTTGAATAAATGAATACTTGAACCTAAAGCGAGTTTCTTGCATTCAGTATTTCTGTGTATTTTTGGCTGTGGAACATAAAATGTCTACACATGTAGTGCACCGTTCGCGCTAATCACTGACACGCTAAAAAACTCCCCTTTCCAGGATGAAGTACATGACCCGGAACCACCACTAAGTATTGCAGGTATTTCTGTGTATTGAGCGCTCAGTAAACAGTTGTTGTTACTGTTTTATATAGAATAAGAATAGAATAATTGCATAAAAATGAATAGATATCGATTAAATGAATAATTGAATTTTAAAATGAAATGAATACAAGCAAGTAACTTGTACGTTAAATGATTATCTGAAGTTCTCAGATCGAAACATTATTTATATGTAAAATACTTCAATGTACGACTACTTGCACTAAAAATTATTTATTGTTTAGTCTAAATAAAACAGATGCAATGTAAAAAAATTCTTAATTTATTGAACAACATTCTAATAATATGAGTACTCAATTTATGAATATAGGTGATTAGAAATTTTTATAAGCACTAACCTTCGCACACTCCGTTCCTAAGTAATTCAACCTTGACAGTTGCAATAAAAGTATCAAGCACTTGTTTCAATTTTCTATAATTCCTAATAATTAATTTCAATTAATAAACAAAGAAGCAGCTACTCCCCTCCAACTCTCCCACCAAGTGCTCGTAACACATTCGAACGAACCGAAAATAGTTTTTGTTTAAAATTAAACATAAACAAATTTACTATGTACTCATGCAGAGGATTAGACATATTGGCTAGAACACAAACAGCAAATCGCAGAACCTGAAAAAACACCTCAAATTTCACTTACATTAATGTGTCTTCTATTATTATGTATTATTCTATTATATATAGCATACTCTATTTAAGCACTTTAGTATTTAAACAAGAAAAAATTGTTTTTATATTGCGAAAGGAATTATTTTATAGCAACTGTAATAATTGGCAATAATCGGAATATTCTCAAAATTATTAAAAATTATTAGAAAATTCTTGAGAAAGTAAAAACATGAGAAGATTTTCAAAATATTTTTTGACGTCATCCGAAAAATAGAAAGAAGGCTGGCACACGCCGTGTGTTCTAAATCAGGAACACCGATGAGAGAAACTATTTTAGGAAACGTGTTGTTTTGATACGAAAACGTTTAGTTGCTGCTTTCGTAGTTTAGTTTATAAATCTATTATTAATTTGTTCGATTTATTCAATAAAAATAATATAAGTGATCAAAGGTATTTGAGTTAATTTACTCTACTTCTCTATGTTCAGTAAATAAATCACGAATTGTCTTACTATTTATAATAATATATGTAGTATACATTGATTAACTTTTAAACACAGCTTCCAAACAACAATTCAGATCCAAATTCTTCAAAGAAAAACTCTTTCGTTGCTTCATATATTTTCACCAAACCTGGAAGTAAAGGATTACAATTGTTACATACATAATATAATAGGTATATGTGAACGAAGAACTTTAACGTATATCCATTTATCTCTCTAAATTCAGATGATATCTTTGATTGTAATTAATATATAAGCTTATAGTTCAGAATTAGATAAATATTTCACTCAAAGATAAGAACTACTTAATATAATAAAGTAAGTTCGGCTTATATATACTATTGCTCATATATATATAACCTGTTTTATATATTACTAGTTGGCATTTTTGCCAACATATGGTATACATATATCAATAATATTGTCATAACATACGCATGCCATAAATATCTTACCTTAAATGTGATAAAACTATAAACTACTGTGTAAGTGCAAGTCCTGAAAAACAAAATAGATGCTTTGTTGTCTTCCTAGACATAGCGTTCCACAATATATGGCATAACAGCTTACAGAAGTTAAAATCATGTCTCTCATATGAATATAGGATTACTGCAGGACTCCTATATAACATCACAAGAATTTTAACTTGAGCATTCAGACGAACTTAAAAGACATAATAGCACAAATGCCATAAAGACGTATTTTCGGAAAAGTATTATACTTTTATATATTATATAAACTCAGGATCTACTTATGCTAGTAAACAGCATGATTACTATTTTGTAGATGACAAAAGATGACCTTTTGAAGTCATTTTCAATGATTTGTTAGTATATAACTGGGTATAGCTCCACATTAATTTGGCAGTTGTTTTTCATGTAACTCTCAAGAAAAAGATCTATTGGTTACAAATAATATAATTTTCGTGACCAATTGACATCACCAAAATATGAATTTATAAGCACCACAAATTTCTCGCGCAACAAAATCAAAATACGATTTATGAGGTGGCTTGTAGTATCAGAACCATATCTGTGTCTTAAATTATACTTCGAAAAAATTTATAATCATGTGGCTTTAGCGATCATAGCTAACGACTTATGTTACACATTCAAAAAAATACTGAACTGTGAAACTTCCGCACTAAATGCTTTATCTCACAATCACTGTTTGTTGATACAGATGTTTTTCGATAGTTACTTGCAAATCTTTACTACCCCAAAGGCCAGAATGTTGTCTGTGGGTATATGTACCAAGAAAGATATAATCCTCATTTTTTAAAAAACTTCGAAACGGTTGGTAAATGATCTATGTCTTGGATGACATATTACTGAAATTGCCAAACTAAAGCCAAGGTATGCATAACCCTTTATATATATCGGAATTTTTGTATATCAACAAACCATGATCTGATTAATGAACATGGGAAATAATAATAATGCGGTACCAGTAGTTGATATGACTCCATTCCTGTTCAATGTAGAATTAATATGCAAAATAAATGTTCAAAAAGTATGAAGTCGTAAGCAAATGCAGTATACAAATGTAATGCGTTACTAATTTGTTTTACTTGTGATTCGTGCCATTTTCGCAAGAAATGTATATTTATTATTAAACAGAACATTTAAATATACACTATTTTGATTTTCATTTAACTTATCTGCAACTTTGTTCTTTGCTTAAAATTTAGTTTCAATTTGATTTACCCTCAGATTTTATACTTGCTTTTATCAACACTAGCACGCATAGTTGCCATATTGGAATGTTTCGAGTCAGAATTCACTCAATGTGCTGTTATGACGAAATTATTTTGAATATTTTGTACGGATTTTGGAATGGATTTTATATGGGAAAAGACACTAAAAGCTACATTAATAACGATTTAATTGCAATAATGTATTGATTATCCCACAGTTGTATCAGTTTTTAATTCAAGTATTTTGTTTTAATTATCCTATCCATTTATAAGACTCAGATACTGGAGGATTCAATATTCTCGTCTAACCACGAGAATATGTATCGTTTTAATTTTTCTAATTTGTTATTGTAACTTACGCAGAGAGTAGGTTTTTCTTCCATAAAACTATTTTGAAAATAAAAAAAGTTTTTGAACAGCTGGTTTTGTTTTTAAAATAGAAAAAAAAAACAAGCACCAAAAATTTGTTGACAATCTGAGTGTTCCGTTCACATTTCATTTCATTCCGTTTTCTGATATAAAACGAAAAGCAAGCGGAATAATAAAAATAATCAAAAGTATTTTGCAATGTTTTGAATTTATTTTTAAAAAGCGCACATTTCCGAGCAAATCTCCGAGAACACAGTGTCCACTTTTTACGATTTGCTCGTATATCACAACAACAACACAGCACATATAAATGAAAAAGGCACAATTTTTAGTTTGAAAAAAGCAAAAAAAAAAAATTGTATTTTCTTATCTTAAATTTTTACAAATGAAAAATACAATTTAAACATAACAAAATCTTACGTTTAGTCAAAATCTTAGTGCCGTCAGTTTTAGTAACAAAAATTTTAAATGAATTTTTTTTAATGAACAATGAGAAAATTTTGAAATTTATTTATTGAAATAATTGATAAATTATTGTTTTTCGAATATGCCAATTTGTGTTTATGTGATATTTATGTGAAATTAATTCAATTAAGTTTAAGTGTAATTAGTATAGTTAAGCTCTATAAATAATCAAATTACATAAAGTTAAAGAAAAAATATCAAAAAAAAAATGGCGGCTTTTGCGCTTTCACACAGCAAGGATGGCATGCAAAAAGCCGGCTGGAAAATGGATCAAAATGAAGAAGGTAAAAAATGTAAATCCATTGATTGTTAAGGTCTCTAAAGATCAATTATGTTGGATTAAAAATAAAAAAACTTTATTGTCTATTATTATAAAATCTTCTATGAAATTGTTGCGCAAAAATTTGTTTGCATGCTCTCTCTTTCTCGCTCTTTATTTAAATTTCTCTCTCTAAGTTTCGCTATATCTTTTTATAAATTTTAGTTGCTGTAACAAATAGTTTTGTTTGTATACAAAAAGAAAATGTTAAAAAAATTTTAAACAGATATTTTTGCAGATATCTCAGTATTACATTTTAAACTTTATCTCACTTTTAAGACCAATTTTACTGATATTTTGCCAATGATGTATTTACAATTTGTGTACTCATTTTCTTTAGTATATTATATTAAGTATTATATTATATATTATGTAGTATGTAATTACTATATTAAAAAAAGAATTCACGCTATATTGTATTCCTAATCAAAAACTCTTCAGGAATCGTGTAAGCGATATCTAACTGTCCATCTGCCTCCCTGTCTATGTGTCTATCCTTTCTTCAATCAAAATAATGGTAGACAAACAAATAACTCAAGTTTTGGGGTAATTGCATCAAACCTTATATCGGACTTTGTGTATATTCCAATGGCAAAAGTAGATAAAAAGAAAAAAATGGTTAATTATATCATCCAACTGATAATGCAGTTGATTTTCGTCAGAAAAATAGTTTTAAACCTAAAATAAAAAAATTTAAATAGTAAATATTTTCTTTGGATGAAATTATCTTTTTAAAAGAACTTTTAAAAGGCTTCACCATAGTAAAAATTATCGTTTTTATGATTTTTAATAAAAAAAATTCTTTCAATGGCAAAAATGCTTTGTTTAAGAAGGATCATCGAGGATCAGAACATAATAGAGTTCTATGTAATATTATTATAGATTTCTTAAGTCTTAAAATCCTCTCCTGGAAGTTTATTGAAAAAAACTTAACTATTTAGGAGACTTTTTAATAACAATTCAAATAAATTAGTATATTTATTGGTCTCCCATTCATACCAGTACATGTTATCAACAATTTCTATGATGCTAATATTCGATGACGGAAATTAGTAGTAGTTCGTTTCCCAAATTTTTTTTAATTTTTCTCCTGAAGACTATTTATTAATTAATTAGTCCATAAATGGATTTTCCTATATACTTATTTCTTTCATGTACATAGCGTGCTACATTGATATAGACGAAGATGAAACAACTGCGGATGCAGATGATAATCGCACATATTCAGATTGGTGCAATTTACCTGACTTAATTTTAGAGCAAATTTTCTCTTATTTGGATGTGAAGGAACGCTACTATGCCAGTCTGGTAACCATAATACAAAATACATAAATGGACTGCAGTTAAAATTTATTGTTTCAGGTTTGCACGCAGTGGTACCGTTGCTTGTATTTGCCAATGGTTTGGCACAATTTTTTGGTTGACGATCGCACCCTAACAAGGCCTAAGTATAATTATTATTCCGGTTGGCAGTACTGTTTGGATCATATGCGCACACAAAATTGTATAGCTAGAATTGGAAAATACTTACGAGGCTTAGAGTTTAGACCAGAACATAGTTTCAATAATATTTATCAGTTCATGTCTATGATGTCATGGAGCATAGATAAAGTAAGGGATTAATAGTTCTTTAATATCGAAATTATTTAAATTTTTCTGTTTTTCTTGCTAGAGTTTGGATCCGAAACCTATAGCAGAACTTATAGGAGTTGGCAGCCGCATTAGATCTTTGGTTTATATATTTCCATGCAATATGTCACACCGCACAGATCCTGAAGGCATAAAACTGTTTGGCACTGGTGGACAACTCCTGCAGGGTTTAAAGCATTTACTTTCGAGACTAAAAAATTTGAGAACACTGAAATTAATAGACTTTGTTTTGAATCGTTTCGAGGCTAATCATTTACTGGATGAGGTTCTAGAGACCTGTTGTAATAAAATGCGTGTTTTAAATTTAGTGAATGTGACAACTGGACATTGTCCGATTATGCATGTTGGCTTGTTTTTTAACCTACAGGTAGACATAGCATATTTATAACTTTTACTTACTATTTATTTCTTTCTAATACTGTTAGATACTAACAATATCACCACAAAATATAGACGATGACGTTTTATTGTTGTTGGCTGACACTCAACTAAGACATTTGCATCTTCTACAAAATTGTTATACATCTCCCTGCGAGTATATTTTTCCTTGCACTGTAAAGGCTTGGCGCTTACTGAAACGTGATAATCCTCTTCTGAGAGTACATTTGCGACTTGAGTCAGTCAAAGATGGCGAAATAGTGTTTCAACCTGAGGCACCTGTAAGCAGCGTCGTCTACCGTTCAACGAAGACAAGGGTTTGCAAATAAAGCAAATAAAATTTTCCTAAAATCTACATCTATCAACTTTTACAGATAAAAACGTGTGTGCTGATGCGCATAGTGGACCAGTACAAAAACACGTTAAGCACCTATGGCCATGAGATGCTACCGCGCTACCACACTCCCAAACCATTTATTAACCGCACTGATAGCTTAATCTTGTTGCTTTGCCGGCAATGCTTCAATCTCACCACTTTAGTAAGTTTTCAATATTATAAATATGTTTTTTATATGTCTTCTAACACTCCTGCACTCCATGGCAGCTCATACGTGAAAAGATCTCTACATGCACATTGTTACTAATCGCGCGCACCGCTTCAAATCTGCGGCGTTTATATGTACGGCGATTTTGCGTTGTCAAACGTTTCGATTGGCCCAGACATCCAGAATGGTCGGACGAGTTTTATGAATGGCTCCGTGCTTCGTCTCGTTCTTATGAGTCTACTGAAATCGAGGTGTCACAAATACTTGGATACAAGTGGCATTTATTAAACGATGCTGACTACATGAAAATTGAAGCGGAAGTCCGTACTGAATGTTAATATCATATTATGTTTGTTATTTAGTAGAATAATTCCTAAAAGTATGCAAGTAAAAAAATTGTACAGTGGAGGTAGAAAAAGAATTTATCTTTTCAATTAAAATATGTGCAGACAGTTTTTTTAAAATCTAAAAAACTTTTTTTAAAATACTTAAAACTTTCACTATAAACCTACTACGTATACTACATAGATTATATATTTATAGAAGTATCCACATACTTTTAAGTTCATGACACTACAACATAAATAGCTATATATAAACCCTATAACTTGGACTCATTAGGGAAGTAGAATATATGCTGAACTATTTTCATAACATGATATAATGACCATTTTCCAAGTAAATAATACTGACCGGTTGTTTTTGTCCACATTTCTAGTTTGGCACTACTAAATGAAAGACAATCTAGCTTCTATTTAAAATGGGCTTAATTTAAGTGGAGACGCAACATTAAAATGAGGGGCTTAATTCGTATATTCTAAAAAATCATATAAAATAATTAAGATTCAATTATTCTTATTTGTATAGGGTGAAAAGAATCTACCTTCCTCGAAAAAATTAGGTAAAAATAATGATGAAGCTACCAGAAGATACTGGAATTTTGGTAATTACCATATATTAACAACTAACTGAAGGTGCTACAAATTTTCTTTTTTTTCAAACGCATGATACAATAACTGACGATTTGAGGAGTAATACTTAAGTAATTTGATACCAGTAATATTTAAGTAATTAATGTCTCTTTAAGAGTGAGAACGATAAAATACATAACATTCTTTTAATAATTAATTGGGGAGATGAGTCTAACTAATATCAAGATTCAGATATTTTGCTACCACGGCGTAACAGAAGAACAGATCAACGACAAGATATAAAGACGCTACTAATTGATTCGTCATTTAGGAGTTCTTTTGTGTGACAGGCGGGGTGAAATTGCTTAGACATCAGCTAATTGTATCAGCCCTTACACTTCTTATATACCGAGTGTAGATAGATATCATGTGGCTTATAATGACAGCCTATGGGATCTCAAAGTTTTTTTATTATTGATGTGATTACTTTTATAAAAGTAAGAACCAAATTACACACTGAGAGCGCCAAAGAAAACGTAAACAGATTCGTGTGCATTTTATACTGCTAATCACGGACTTTGAGTGACCATTAAGGAACACTTAAGGATTAAATCTTATGTATATTCTTCTACGAATTATCAATCACACTGATATTGAACGAAAAATAACGATCTCATTTAGCAGTTGCTTTCATAACTGACTTACTTATAATGTTTACTAGTATGATTGACGAACTGAAATGTAAATAATAATGTGAATGACGATTAAGAAAACTAAACAAAACTGTAAATAATTATTTCGGCAAATTTATTAGAGAATACAAAAGGTGGGAAATATACTTTGCCATATATTTAGTAGACATTTAAATGGCGGTAAGTTTAGTCATCTGCCTTCTGTTTGCACTACTCATTTTCAGTATTTGTCAAATAATTCTTAGTGAATTCGCAAATTATAAAAGCATCACTGAACGATGCTTTATGTTCTTACGAAAAATGTTTGCCGAAAAAATCAGTGCAGAAGTATTAATATTCCATCAAATAAAAATATTAAATGGGTTTTACCTCAGTCGATGGGTTAATGTTTGCTAGATGTAAAAAAAGAAAATATTTTAATCGTTACGTGTTTTACTTTCTCACTTCTGTTGTATGTATTATATATACCTGCATTGACGTCTGTAAATATCTAATAAAAAGTATAAATAAAATTCATCTTTCCATTTGCGCGGCATTATTGGTTTTGAGTTTCGCGATGAAAGTTCTGACATTGATATTCGCTTGGTTACTTTGTTTGTTGGTCTCTACAGTACCGACGGAAGCACGGCCTCACGTGGGTGTTATTGTAGGAATACCTGGTCTGCCTGTACCAGTGCCCTCATATTACGGGCCATCATATTACGGATCGTATTATCCTCATTTTGATCATCATCACCACTATGACTATCATTCACACTTTGGCGGTTATGGGTACTATGGTTAAGGATCCGTTTGAATGGAATTTTTTGAACAACTGGCAATGGAAAGGATTCAGTGAAATTATTTATTATAATAATTGTATTTAATGTGAGTTATTGCTGTTGCTGTACAGAAGTGATATATTGAAACAAAAAATTATATTAATACAACAAATAAACGTTTAAACTTGATAATTTATTAAACACATATTATGGTTTTTTAAACTGCGGAAATTTATATTAAAAAATTGGTACAGATTTACTAGTATTAGTAACAGTTATTTACATAATTAGAGGCTAATTAACTATTGGACGATATTATTTCAAATAATACTGGAATTGTACTTGACAACAACAAATATATTTTATTTGCGAATTAATGAGTCAATATCCAAAATTATGCCAATCCCAACAGTTAATTTAGGTTAATAATAAAAATTCTTACAGGTTTTTCAGTTTAAATGTATTTTAAATAATACTGGTTACTAATTTCTTCACACGACATGCTAGAGCGTTCAAAGGTGCAATCACAGGATACTGACATCTATAAATACAGTTAAACTTCAAGTGAAATATCCAGGCATCTCAACTTATCGTGACATGTAATTGTCAAGATCCAGTACCTGCTTCTGGTTTTCATTAAACCAAAAGTCACACGCTAAAGATCCGAAGTTTTGGACAAAGTTATATTATTAGATTTATCAGTAGTCTTCATCTCTCCAAATTAACTTAGGAGACTTACTCTAGGAATAACACAACAGATCTCAAATGTTGTGATGCACAGTTGTTTAATATATAAATAAAAAGTAGAAGGATTTTAAAAATTAATCATTTAAACTTTATTGGTAAAATAAGTGTATTTATGTAATTTTTTAAAACAGATATGGCAACTCCTGGTTAACATACTCATGAAATAAGCAGTCAAAAACCGCAAGAACTTAAATCCGTTACTTTCACATTGAAAAGTTTAAAAACTGCATATATACAAAGTTTATCAACTTTGTTGCAAAGCTTTTTATGTTGCACGCTTCTTAAAAGAAACACAGCCTATACAAATAATAAATAAAATAATGAATTTTTACAGGAATAAAAGTCTATGAATGAATATATTTTATTAATTATGTTTTTAATTATGTTTAATTTTTGATGTTAGAAACAAAAATAAAACGAAAAAGCAACTAAAAAGTTTTTGTGTGCATTTTCAAATTCAAAACAAAAACGACCTTGAAAAACAATGTGCACACCGCAACAATCAATACATGGTAGAGCTATGATCAGCTTTAAAGACATTTAGAATTATAAGTATCATATAATATATCATATAACTTATATGCAGCTTGAATAGTTGCTGCATTTGCCGCTTTTATTTCTTGGAATTTATTGAGGATATAGAAATGTGTAAAATATATATAATCAGCAGAACAAGACTAATATCTCATGTATTATTAAAATAAATAATTATATGTATATAAGCATTGCCGGTACATTGCCATTTGGCCACTAATGCAGTGTGCAGAGAGTGCTAATAGGCATGCGTGCTACTACTCTTGAGAGTCAGTAGTAAATAAACTGCAACATTGCATTACTTGGCATGGCATGGCATGATTAGAGATAGTGCAACGTCAAATTCAATGTCAATGTCAACAAAATACCGAAAGTTAAAAAAATATTACAATAAATTAAAATACGCACATTGTAACTACTACTACGAAATTAAATTAATATAAATAAATAATAATATCACATTTTAAATCATTTTGAAATTTGTGTGAGAAGTGAATTCTTCTGTTAAGCGCGGGCCTAAAAGTATGCCACAATTTATGTAATTTAGTGAAATATATGCAATTTCGTATTTGAACTTGAAACGTTTTTGAAGCAAATAAAACAATAAGAAAAGTGAAAAAGTCGCATATAAACAAAATATTTAGAACAGAAAAATTTGGCAACAAATTTGCTTTTTATTTTGTTCTAGTTTTGTTTTGTTTTATTCTAATATAAAACTCAAGTGTTTATTCTAATTTTACTATTTTGCAAATCAGAGGTGACGAATTCTTGGGGCTTTTAATTACTATATAATAAAACAAATATTTAAATAATAACTGCGAAAAAGTTGATTATTGTCAAAGTTCTTCTTATTACTCTTTTATCAGGTAACTCTAATCGCATTACCTGCTTATATTCTCTCATAACATATCATCTGTTTAATGACTTCATAATAGAAAAAGTGATAGTACTTAGCATCAGTTTTGGTCATGGCACATTGCATGAGTAACTTAAGTTGAGCATGTTTATGCCACTTTCACAGTCGTATCTCAATACTGACTTAGTTAGCGGACTTAAAAATAGTCTCAATACTGACTTAAATTATGCTTAAGTCAAAAACTTTGGTTACTTCATTCATACTTAAGTCATCATCTTCTTATTCCAGTCTTTTGCTTTTGATGCAGCGTATTGCCGAAGCTCTCTTAGGCTATAAGCCTTCTGAAATCGCAAGGGCAAAATAATTGACCATCAGTTGTTCAATTGACTATCTTGATTCAATGTAGGATCTGCCTGCAAGAGTTAGTATGCCACGTGTACCTATTTACCTATCTAATAATTGATTTATTTAGCAATTCAAGCTGCATTATTATTATTTATCAGTCTTTATTTTATGGCCATTGTCTTCACCAGTTACTCCCAATATTAATGTTCTACTTATTATTATGTGTTAAGATATCGATCTAGATGTCGATACCATCTAAAAATTTTTTTGGTTTCTTGATGTCTTCATTGATGTCGACAAAATTAGAATATAGATGGCAAAGGGAGGAGCATTTATCCAATTGCAAAAGAATTAGAGATCAGTAGGGGTATTCACTCTCTCTTGTAAACTCATTGCAGGGAGCACGAAATGCAAGAATGCTATGCAAAAACTGCAAGACTGCGAGAACACCTCTGTTGCAGAATTGTATCATCAAAATGAATCAGCTGTTTTTGCAGTCGATTCACATTGAGCAAAGAAAAATAAAAGTATAACAATGTCGCGAACAAGTGAAATACAAAAATGTATAGATTTTTTAATTGAAAATAGTGCTTTTAATA